CTCGGATATCCACCAATTGTGGCCGCTTTCTAGCTGTCACCATTAGTGGAAAACGGGCTGGTGCCGCGCTAAATTCAGCCTCCTAACACGCCCCAGCATCAGGCGAGCAAGACTGGGACTCGACACAGTGCAGTAGTTTTTCATGCTAAATCAATTCGTTTCTGCGAATGCCGTGCAAGAGGCTTCGTGGTAGGGCAAAGAGGCTCTCGCAAAAACACCCGTCTAAAGGCATGTGCAGTGCTACAACTACTAACCAGATCTGTTTGACCGCACAGATTTCAAAATTTGTAGGCATTGGGTCCAAATATGAAGTCACGAACTGGCCCAACAGTGAAGAAAAGTGTAGATAAAACCATCGAAGACACCCTATCCAGAAAAACACGCGCCAGCCTGTTGCAAGATAACTGTCAGGTAGAGTTCTCTCGCTCGAGAGTTCAAGAATTTCTCGTCGCACCGTTCGGCTAAGCCGTTAGGAAAAGAAAAATAATGCGCGAAAAAAGGCTCTGAACACGAGGATAGTCTAGAAAAAAGGCTGAAGTGGATAGAAACCTTAGGCTAATACCTTTTTCAATGCAACCCTTGAATTACAAACACTTTAGAAGAAAAGGTTCGCTAAAAATGGTTTCATAATAGTGAGGGAAGAGAGGCGTCTATCCGTGGAATAAAAAACAATTGTGGCACGCTTGACAAAATATGATTTAGTAGCTCATCCAGGTCACAAAACCCCCTTTTAATAAATCCACTTGCTTTCGCGAACATTCTATACTCCCCTCCAATTTAATTTTTATCCCTCCTTTTGAGCAGATCTGAATGGAAACTACGAATTAGCCGTCCTCCATCCCCCTTATAATCAGCCGAAACCATCCAATTCACTATCACACCATGGAATTGTGATTTGAATGCGCGCAATTATCGATCGAAATCAGGCAATCTGATGCGACGGATTCAAATTGAAGCGGGTCTTGCGGGGAAAGCTTGTATTGATCTTCTTGCGCCTGCGGCGTCGCGTCGTTACCTTTTTGAGTCGTGTTGTCCTCGAAGTAGGCGTTCGTCATGTCGTCTTCAGAAGTTGCTGAACAACTCCAGGAGGCTGTTTCGCCCGTGAAATCGGTTGAAGTCAAGGTCTGTGAAGTCGTCAGTTGTGGGAGGTCAGCAGGGTGGAGGTGTGGGATGTGACAGCATTGCCTACACACCTTGAAATAGATAAACAATGGACCTTTTTCGGGGTGTAAGTGTGCAGTCAAGTTCGAAAGCTACTTTTAGTTCGTTATTTCAGGAAGTGGATCCACCGAGCCCAAGAAAGAGGAAGTTGGAAGACGAAGAGGCCGAGGATGTGACCCGCCAAGAAAATTCGTGAATCTGAGTCCGCTGAGCCCGAGGATACAAAAGCAGCAGATGAAAACAAAGAGGAAAGCCCTGTAAAAGCTGGTGGAAAGGAGGCGCAGGAAGACGCTGTCGATGTGGAAACAGTGGAACAGGAACCAGAAAAAGCTGCCAAAGACGACGGTC